GTTCAGGGCAAAACCAATTTCAGTTGCTACAGAGATGTCCCTTCCATTACAGGGTCAAAAAGTGGAGAGGCTTGCTCATATTGCATAGCATTTAGATCGATTTGCAATACCTCAAATGATAAAATAATTCATAGTCCCTTCATTGAGCTAGAAGACCTGGGCCTTAGGCTAGTAACATTCACATCATGCAAGTGCCAGGTAATGACTAGCTATGAGTGAGTACCTAACCACCTCCCCTTTACACTTAATGGCATTACAAGAGATTGTTAAGAAAAATTAAAGCTCATGGTATCAGAGGTAATGTATTGACATGGATAGAGAACTGGTTGGCAGACAGGAAGCAGAGAGTTGGAATAAACTGGTCCTTTTCAGAGTGGCACGCAGTGATGAGTGGGGTACTCTAGGGTTCAGTGCTGGGACGCCAACTGTTCACAATATACATTAATGATTTGGACAAAGGAATTGAATGCAATATCTCCAAATCGGCACATAACACTAAGCTGGGTGGCAGTGTGTGCTGTGAGGAGGATGCTAAGTGGCTGCAGGATGACTTGGACAGGCTGGTTGAGTGGGCAAATGCAATATAACGTGAATAAATGTGAGGTTATCCACTTTGGTCGCAAAAACAGGAAGGCAGATTATCTGAGTGGTGGCAGTTTAGGAAAAGGGGAGGTGCAATTAGACTGGGTGCCTTGGTGGAACAGTCACCGAAGGTTGGTATGCAAGTGGTGAGTAAGCTAATGGCACGCTGGTCTTCACAGTGACAGGATGAGTATTGGAGTAAGGATGTCTTGCTGCAGTTATACAGGGCCTTGGTGAGGCCACACCTTAAGTATTGTGTGCAGTTTTGGTCTCCTAGTCTGAAGCAGGACATTCTTACTATTGAAAGAGTCCAGCAAAGATTCACCAGGCTGATTCCCGGAATGGCAAGACTGACACATGAGGAAAGATTGGATCAAATGGGCTTGTATTCACTGGAATTTAGGGATGATCTCAGAAACGTATGAAATCCTGATGGGACTAGACAGGCTAAATGCAGGAAGAATGTTCCTGATGTTGGGGATGTCCAGAACTAGGGGTCACAACCTAAGAATAAGGGGTAAGCCATTCAGGACCGAGATGAGGAAGAATGTCTTCACTCAGTTGTGAATCTGTGGTATTCTCTCCCACAGAAAGCAGTTGGGGACAGTTCATTAGATATATTCAAGATAGGGCTGGCCATGACCCTTGCGGCTAAAGGGATCAAGGTGTACGGAGAGAAAGCAGGAGCAGGATACGGAAATTACATGATCAGCCATGATCGTATTGAATGGTGATGCAGGCTTGAAGGGCCGAATGGAGTACTCCTCACCTATTTTTTTTAATGTTTCTAAGCACACCAGCGCCAACAATCTGGGAGTCATTAGTCACCAAAACCTTAACTAGACCAGGCATAAATACTGTGGTTCCAAAACCAGGTCAGCAGCTGGGAATTCTATGGCAAGTGACTCAATTTCTGACTTCCCAAAGTCTTACCACCATTTCCACGACAGAACTCCGGAGGGTGCTGAAACAGTCCCCACTTACTAAGGTTTTGGAGTAGATCTGTAGCTCGGGTTGTGGGTGTTGAGGTTGGTTGGCTTGCCGAGCTGGTTTGTTGTTCCACAGATGTTTCGTTACCGTGCTGGGTAACATCCTCAGTGCAGTTTCTGACGAAGCGTCGGTGTGTTTTCCCGCCTGGTTTTTAAACTCTGGGGTCCGTTGCGATGGATTGCCTCCCTTCCGGGTTTCCTTCGTGGTGGAATGTATATTGAGTTCAATGTATTTATTAATAGCATGATTTTTAATAGCATAATTGCACGAGAATTCCTGGAAGCATGCTATTAATAAACACCTCAAACTCGACCCCATATACATTCCACTACGGAGGAAACCCGGAAGCGAGGCAATCCATCACAACAGACCCCAGAGTTTAAAAACCAGGCGGGAAAACACACCGACGCTTCATCAGAGGCTGCACTGAGGATGTTACAAAGCACGGTAACGAAACATCTGCAGAACAACAAACCAGCTTGGCGAGCCAACCAACCTCAATCCCCACTTGCTGTGATGGGTGCAGGTCCAACATTCAAGAGCTCAACACCATCCAGGACACAGCAGCCCACTTGATTGGCTGCAGTATGCATGGTCTTTGAAACAGATGCAGAAACCTGCCAAGACTTCTTCAGATGCATCTCTAAGCCCTTTACTACCTGGGAAGGACAAAGGCAACACATGCACATATCACTGCCTTACACCCCCTCAAGTCTCATACATCTTGATTTGGAACTGTATCACCTTTCCTTCAGTGAAACTGATCAAAAGCTTGAAAATTTTCTTTTCAAAAAAAAAAAAAAAAAAAAAAAAGGCAAGTGGACATCACTGGCAATCATTGCTTATCCCTGGCTACCACAGAATGATTAACTGGTTTCTGAAATGTCCTGAAGAACCATAAAGAGTCATCCACATTGCTGTGGCTTTGGAGAGACAGGCAGGCCAGACCGGGTAAGGACAGCAGATATTCCTCCCTATAAAAAGGGCATAAGCAAAGCAGATACAGTTTTACAACAACTGACATATGGTTACCGTTGACTCACTTGTAATTCCAGATATTTTTATTAAATTCAAATTCCACCATCTGCCACGGTGTGATTCAAACCCACATCCCCAAACATTAGCCTAGTGGCTACGAATTATTAGTGCAGTAACATACCATCTTGTCACCACCTTCTATCTAACACCAAAGAAGCAATCACATCACAGAACTGTAGCAGTTCACCAGCACCATTGATTCGGGAATTCCACGAATGGATATTAAGAAAAAAAAATCACATGCTCAGAATAGTTAACAAGTCATCTCAACATTCCAAGAAGGATTGAACTTACTTTGCTACTCCGTGTGCCCTGCGTCAATGTTTGCACTTTGATGCTTGCCCTTATTAGAAGTGTAGAGTGTGCATTGCCTACTTGCCAACCTCTTGTCCTTTAGAGCAGCAACTGTGGTGATATGCTGTTTCTCCTCAATGAGGACTCCATCTACCCATCAGTAAATGCCTTATTCTGTTGTATTAGATGGCTCTGCCATTGCCTCACATCTGCAGACCTCCAAATGGGCTGTTTGGGATGGGTAGATAGATCACTGGCAGGTTATGCCCTCATCGTGACAGCTGAAGTTTTTAAATCTGTCTCCCCTCATGCTAGCCTCCAATTTCTAGCTGCCCTTTGTCTACCAAACCCAAATCCTATATCATTTACACTGGATTGGCATGGCACAGTATAAATCCTGTTGACCTCTAAAAACATGAAGCCTTTAAACTCTGCAGACCAGAGGTAAAGAGTTTGCTATGAGCTACAGTCCAGGACCAACATGGCTTACTGAAAAATAGCCTGTATGTATTAGTATGAAATATACATATCCTTAGGGGCAGGACATTCTGGAGTTGCCACTCATTCTGCAGGGTCACAAAACCCTCTTATGAAATTAAGTACTAGGAGTAGCACTTGCATATCTCTTTAGCTTGGGAGGCAGTGCTCTTAAAGCACTTAAAAAAAGAGCTCTTGCTGATTAATGAGCTCTGTATGCAGCCCTTGTAAGGTGCAAATCCACAGGTCCATTTTCATTTATTTCTCCTCACTGGTGCTCCCTTTTGATTGCCCCATCTAACTTTTAGTGTGGATGAATCTAGATCAGTGCTTGCAAAGTCTGGGGTGCTGTACAGTACATCATCCTTTGTGCCAGGAATCATATTTTGGGAGATCCCTAGACAAAAACAGAACCTTTACAAGAATAGGTTTATAGGCAATTGTTAGGCACACAGCCTTAACAGCAGAGAGGCCAGTACTTTGTTATACATAACAGTGGTGCAGTATGACAGCATATCGTGGCAAAGGGCTTGATGCATAACTAACTATCCCCATCCTTCAAACGGGCGCCCATTAATTAGTCCTCCTTACCTTGGTTATGTTTCCTCAATTCAAAAGAATTTCTCATTTGCTACCATAGACAAAATACTCAGGATATGTAGTGTTTATATGATCGGAAACTGCTTGCTACAACTACTATATAAACTGTTTTATGGACAATTTCCAGGTATCCCATTGTTCCTCGTGGACACCACCTGCTTTACAACTCTCATGCCATCTTTCCCAAAGAGGACAGTTCTGAAAGATCTTTCAATTATTCTGTTTCAATGAACAACCTTTTGAAATAAAAAACTGCATAAGACAGTTCTAGTTAAATTGTTCAAATTAAATCAACTGTGAAAAAGGGGATGGCTGGCTTTCATACAACTAACACGAGGAGCTCCCAAATGCACACCCCTCTCCTGGTTTGGTGAGACGGTCAGTACCAGGGAAGCGGCATGTAACAGTATAATTACTGTTGCACGCTCTTCGGTTTTCCAACATTAAAACAGAAACCAGATGGTACCATCAATAGAAGCAGGAAAAAAAAAATATTTGGAACCAAATAATCTTTAATGTTTTGCTTTGTGCAATACATTGAAACACAACACCTTCAAAATGAAGTTGAGGAGAGTTGCCATCTCAATTTTCCAGGCTCAGGTGTATAAAGTTATTACATAGAGAGCAAAGAGCATCAGCAATTATGCCACAACAAAGATTGCAATTTAAAAAAAAGAGAACTCAGCCCAGGCTGCTCCTGCACAGTTTTTAATGTCCTGACTTCAGAGTAAAGCTGTCAAAGGTTGAGGATAGGCCACAACATGAAAACTGTTTGACATTCATGAACTAGCTGGGATATCACATCATTAACGTTTCCTCCTTTGTTGTGAATGTTAATCTAAAACTTGTCAAATAGAAATGAACGCCATTTAAAAAAGAAAAATCAGCTTTTGCCATTCTGCAGACTGTCTAAATAAATAAACATATTTAAGTGCAGTCGAGGTGACCTCAGTCTCTATGGTTTTAAATTAAGCTACACAGAAAAACATAGTATGACAATAAAATATTCATCCACATACCTTAGGCCAACGAACAACTGTGGGCAATTTTAGTAAATCAAAGGCTGCTTTCTGGACTACAGAAGGTTTTAATATCCTTATTTGCCTATTTTTGTAAATTAGATTTGTAGGTGTTTTTTTCCAGAAGCCACGCATGGACTGTAAAAAAAAAAATCATAAGTTAGGTTACAGACTTGAAAAGCAATTATAATAACAGATACATTTATACTGTACATTTTTCCTCACATTCACTTGCACTTGTAACAGTTAGTTGCTACTGAGTAGATTCTATAACATCTTCAGGACAGGTTAGTTTATTATTTTTCAAACTCCATTTTCAAAAATTGTCTTCAAATATAGATTAATTATACAACATGAGCTACTTTTCTGAATTATCAGACTGTTATAGGTTTAGTAAAGTTGCTAAATTGTCATGGACTAGGGACGAAATTCTGCCTGCGGAACAATCCCCTGCAAGGGACCACAAAATCAATAAGTCTGCAGGTGACAGATGGATTGGACTGGACACAGACAGCAAATCTTTGGGGCCTCTGAACTTTATAGAAGATGGTAAGCCAGCCAACAGAAGTTTGAAAAAGAGCCAAGTCTGGAATTGAAAAATGCATGGCGTGGAACTCTGCAGTAGAAAGGCATAGGGCTGGACTGTTGAGTTGGAACGATAAAAGGGAGCATTCAGGATTGGCACTTGCCTGAAAACATCAAGTAGGACAACAAGCTGGTGAACAGCTTGATTCAGCCTGACAGTGGCCAGAGTTTGTGTCAAGAGGGGCTCAAGAAAATGGGTTTACTTTTCATTGGAGGAAGCCACTATTCATGCAGAAGAAATTGTCTGACAATACAAAAGGCAGTGGGTAGCTCTAGAATGTGGAAAAAAGTGCCGGAGCGGGATTCGGTGTTCAAATAGAACCAGACTCCATTCAAAGAAAAGCATATAGATACCAGAGGGGAGGATGGCAATGCTTGTGGGACTCTAAAAGATATGGAGTCCTGGAAGAGAAGCTATGCTGAAAAATTCACTGTTTCTATTTAATAAACAGCAATGGAACAAAGCCAAGGGCATCCACCAAAGTTGGACAACACTAGAAAGGAATAGAAGGAGGATGGTGTGGTCAATTGTCAAAGCTATTGAAAGGAAGTCAAGAAGAATGGAAAAGGTGTATTACACCAGACACAAACGTTATTCGTGTCTTTGGGGATCCTGGTGTTGTAGCAGGGATAGAAACTTAGACTCAAGACAGACAAGGGCATAGACTATTGAGGCAACATGTTGAAGAACTTGAGGTGAAAGGAAAGCTTGAAATAAGCTGGTGGCTTGCAAGCATAGAGGAATCCTTGGAAGACAACTCTTTTTAAGAACAATTTCAGAGAACTCACCACTCTCTGCTTTAAAAGTATCTCCTTTAACCATCGCAAGTCAATTGTCTTAAATGCAACAAAAACCAATGTTGTGTCAGGATCGTACTGGCTGTAGTCAGAGAAAAAAGATTCTGGATAACAGAATCTAAATGTTGTTTTGTTTCCAACGTCATCTTCGTATCCATTCACAGGCCCACTATTTAATCTTGAAAAGGAATTAGAAAAGGAGCAGTGAAGTAAATTGAAACATCTTTAAGTCCACCTGTACATTCTAATTAAACTTCTTCCAATTCTAATAAACTAAAAACAAACTGGAGCCTTTTGATTAGCAAATACTAGCTCTATGGCCCCGCTGTATGTAGTGCACAATTTTAACTCAAATAAACATCAACATGAATAGTCTCAATGACACAAGCAGAACTAAAAATTCTTGCAAGTTTCTTTGCCAGAGGTCACTAAGAATCAGACCATTGCTGCCTCTGCCTCTTCACTCAGTCCACCAGACCCAAACTTCCTTTAAAAGTTTGACTGTCTGAATAACTTTCTCGTTTCCCTCTCATCTCTCCTCTACCTACTCAGGAGCTGTTGCTGTTCTTAACAGCCATTTGTTGATCTCTCACCCCACAACCCACTAAAATGGTGATCATTCAGCTTCCCTTCCTAGTCCCATGTTAGTTTATATATTTGTTAATAATTCACCGTCCTCAGAGGCTGGTCCCCCTGCCATCTAATCTGTCGTCATCATTACTTGTTAATGCTTTGGGTCAGGTGACCCTTCCTCAGAACTAGCATGCCTCTTAGCATCTACTCTTCTGGAGAATCTTACATGTTTCACTAAGGTCACCACTCATCCTTCTAAGCTACAATTCAGCTCATCTACCATTTCTTGGTTCTTCATGATTATTTTCCTAGCCTCATTCTCCCGAGGTTATGTTCAGTTTGGCCCCTCTCTTCCTTGCCTTGCCTTGAAAGAAGCTATACTGTCTGTTTGTATATTACTTGATAGTTTTCTGCTTTTTATAAAAAAGGAAGCCATCTTTTGTTGGCTTTCAAACTCCCTTAATCCTCTGGCTTATCACTAATCTTTGCTACATTGAAAGAAAATGTACAATTTGATGCTGCCTTCCACTTTCTTGGTTAACCACAGCTGGATTATCCCTCAACTATAATGGTCCTTTCTCACTTAGATATATCACAAAATACTTTCTTAAACGTCTGCCATTATTTATCAACCACATTTTCTGCTAAACTCCTTTCCCAGTCCACCCAAACAAATTCTGCCTCATTTCTTAGTCATTACTCTTATTTAGCACAGTTGTTTCACAGTCAAACTGAATACTAAATTCTACCATGTACGGTCACTGTTTCCTAGGGGAATCTTTTACTCTTATTTATTAAACCTGCCCCATTACATAATAACAGATCCAAAATAGATTTATTTCTGGTTCCATCCACAACATGTTGCTCTACAAAACTGTCCTCAATACATGATGATTTCTTCCTTGTGGCAACCTCATTTGATTTTCCCAATCTAAGTAATGATTAAAAATCACACATTAATGTACTGCTTTTTTAAAAAAAACACTGCCCTCATTATCTCCTGTCTAATCTCTGTCCTAGTGTGGCTACTGTTAGGGGCCTATAGTCAATTCCCACCAGAGAGTCTTCCTCTCCTTGTTATTTCTTACCTTCATCCAACATCTTCCAATCCAAGTTCACTTCTTGCTGTTGTACGTACTTCATCTCATACTAACAAAACCACCCCAACCTTTTGCTTTTGAAAAGTGGCATAGGCCTGAATATTTAGTTCCCAGCTTTCATTTCCACGTAACCATGTTTCTAAAGCTGTAAGATATACTCATCAAACTCTGTGCCATTAATTCTGTTCTGACTACTATGTACATTTAAGAACTATTAGTTATTCTTAGATGTTCTTAAATATGTTTGAAAAGTGACATGTAACATCAGACTGGCTTCTATTAAATTTTATATTACATTTTTTGATCGTTTTTGGTATAGCAATTTACTTCTCCAGTCCAAGTATAAAGCTTGTACCAGTTCCCTGTGTATTTGACAGATGCCCCTCCTGCTTTCTTTTGATTTCCCTCATGAAAATGATAACTTTTAATAGTTGTCTTAATTACCTACTGTTACAAAGGCATTCTGACCTTTTGTAATCCATGCATGAGGACACCAATCCCTCTGCAATCTCTCACCAGAGATAATATGCTTTCTTTTGTATTCTTCCCGAGATCTTTGCTCACTCAACCTGTGTCTTCTTTTAAAACTTAATGTCCTCTTCACAACGTTCTTTCCTACCCAACTTTGTGTCCTCAGCATTTAGCAAACATACCTTTTGTCCCTTCATCCAAGTAATGTATAAATTGTGAACAGGTGGTGAAGTCCCAGTACTAATCTGTCTGGCACATCAGTCTTTACATCTGCCACATCACAAAAATGAGACATTTACATATACACTCTTCTTCCTGTTATCCAGCCAATTTTCTATCCACATGAATATGCTCACCCCCCTACTCCAAAGGTTATCGAGGAAAATAGAAGTTTATGTGGCGCCTTATCAAAGGCCTTCTGGAAATCTATGGACAGTACATTCACTGGTCTCCCATTATCTACAGCACATACTTCTTCAAAACAACCAATAGATTGGTCAAACATTATTTCCCTTTCACACAACCACATTCACTCTGCCTGATTACCTTGAACTTATCCAAGTGCCCTGCTTTAAACTTAGTTAATAATAGCTAACATTTTCCCCAATGACAAATGTCAAGCTAATTGGCCTATAGTTTTCAGCTTTCTGACCTCTGTTATTCAAGAAGTTAGCAAGTTACATTCACTATTTTCCAATCTAATGGAACTGTCCCTGAATCAAGGGAGTTTTGGAAAAATTAAACTATTGCATCATCAACTACCTCACACAGCCACCTCTTTTAAAGACCATAGGATGAAGTCCATAAAGATCCAGGCATTTAGCAACCCCCAGCTCCAACAATTTACTCAGTACCATTTCTGATTATTAAGATTTCTAGTTGCCCTCTCCCTTCCATTTCCTGATGTTATTGCTAATTCTGGGGATGTTACATTATCCTGTACAATGAACAAGGATGCAAAATGCCAATTCAATCGTCTGCCATTTCCCTAATTTCCAGTCTCACTTTTTATAGGACCAATGGTCCTTTTGTAACTCTTCACTAAATATTTATAAAAAAAAATTTACTATTTGTATTTTTATATTTTTGACTTGCTTTCTCTAAAGCTGAAATTTTTAAAAATATTCTGTCCACTCTTCCAACCTATCAGGTGTCTGTGGACAATTTCATTTTCTTCATTAAGTCTGGTACTATCTTTAGCATTTATTTACCAGAGGTGGTTAGTCTGACCCTTGGAATTTTCATTTGTTGAAATACATCTATTCAGCATATTCTAAACTATCCACTTAAATGACTGAATGCATCTCTATTGACATCCTTTAATCTAATTTGTCAAATCACTTGAACCAGCTCTGCTTGCATGCCCAAATTAAGGTCCTTACTTAAAATTTACAAAATAGTTCCAGATTCATTCCTCTCTACTGCAAATTTAAATGGAAAATTCAAATCAAGATCAGGTTCCAATCTTGCAGTCACCTTCCTTTAATGGCTACCACATCATACTTCATTTTTAGGAACAAAAACAAAATTGATTCCAGAACTGAGGAAGGGTCACCGGACCTGAAATGTTAACTGTTTTTTCCTTCACAGATGCTGCCAGACCTGCTGAGCTTTTCCAGCAACTTTATTTTTGTTCCTGATTCACAGCATCCGCAGTTCTTTCAGTTTTTAAACTTCATTTTTATTTGCATTCAGTTCAGTTTCTTTCTAAACTGACATACATTTAGATACAGAGGCTCGAGTTTTACTTGCTTGGTAAACTCTATTCTCATCTGTTGCTTGGTTCCAATTCATATCCACTATCCCTTCTGTTTGTTTCCCATATTTATAGCTTTCTTTTCGGCCTTGACTTACCATATCTTCTCAAATTTGATTCCTTGCCCCCACAACACTTAAAATATTCTTCAATTTTCTGGTTGCATGGTTGGCAACAGTGCAGGTGGAGACAATCCCATTAGTGCAGGTCCCTAAGATTAGTGCCAGTGCCCCACAAACCAGAACCCACTTCTCCCACACCAGTCTTTGGGCCAGATATTCATCTCTCTAATCTGATTTATCCTTGATAATTTCTACGTGGCTCAGTTAATACAGGGATTATGACCTTGGAGGCTCAGTTTCTGGTTTTGGTGCGTAACCCTTCATACCAATTCCTTTTTCATCCTGCCATTATCACTAGTACCTATAAGCAATGCAGGGACTCCCAGTTCAAGTTCTCTCGAGCCCTGGGCACATGTCTCAAACCTTGACACCAGAGACAACTAAGCCACCTGAACTCATGCTCTTCATCTTCATCACTAAGCACCGTACCAATACATTTTAAAAAAATCTCCCAAAACAGTTTGATTATGCTTTTGGTCACCCCTTGTAGATAACGTCCTACTCCCACCTTCTAAAGCATTATTAACATTCACGTAGCATTCTTCATATGACTGTCAATATGCATATTCCCTTCAAGGCTATTCCATTCCATTCCATTAATAATCAAAATAAAGTTCAGCTATTAATTGAAAACGTGTCATAAGAATTGGGGAGAAATTATCGGAATTGGGGAGAAAGGAATAGCAGCAATTTCTAAGTTTTAAAAAACAATGGTACAATTCAGTAATGTGCATTGTTCTACAATTGATAAATGTTTGAAAAAAGCTCAAGCATGCTTTGTCACACAAGGCAATTTAATTCATATAAAATTTAACAAAAAGAAATACCTTATGACAACATCATAGGAGTCAATTATTTTCCCTAAAGTCTTGTTTCGAAGTACTCCTCCATTACCAACCACAATGCAAGTTAGACACGATAGGCTATTAAACGGAGAGAAAAAAAAACAAGCATCAAAAATGAGACATAATAATAATAATAATAATAATAATAATAATAATAATAATAATAATAAATCATCAAGTATAAGCAGAACAGGCTTTATTCAACATTCTAAAGTGTGTTCCCACTAGCTACTCACCTCAGACATTCAATCTTCTGCCCATTAAAGCATATCACCCTTGTTCATCCCCATTCACTACGGCCTATCTGCCTGGAATACACTCGGGATTTTCCCGCAACAGCCAACACCCCATTAGCATTCTCTCCTATAGCCTATCCACATGGGTCACTCCTTCAAGTCTCCTTTGACTTCAAACTATTTAACCTGTACATTCCATAAGCCTTGCTCACTGGAATCTATCTTCAAAAATTCTATGACTGCAATAAGTTTACATGATTATTTTTCATGTACTCCACGTGGGGAATTTGAACCAGTAAAAATTCGTTATAAAATGTGTTTGACATAGAACATAACAGCGCAGTACAGGCCCTTCGGCCCTCGATGTTGCGCCGACCTGTGAAACCAATCTGAAGCCCATCTAACCTAAACTATTCCATTATCATCCATATGTTTATCCAATGACCATTTAAATGCCCTTAAAGTGGGCGAGTCTACTATTTTTGCAGGCAGGGCATTCCACGCCCTTACTACTCTCTGAGTAAAGAACCTACCTCTGACATCTGTCCTATATCTATCACCCCTCAATTTAAAGCTATGTCCCCTCGCGCTAGCCATCACCATCTGAGGAAAAAGGCTCCCACTGTCCACCCTATCTAATCCTCTGATCATCTTGTATGTCTCTATCAAGTCACCTCTTAACCTTCTTCTCTCTAACGAAAACAGCCTCAAAACCCTCAGCCTTTCCTCATAAGACCTTCCCTCCATACCAGGCAACATCCTGGTAAATCTCCTCTGCACCCTTTCCAATGCTTCCACATCCTTCCTATAATGCGGTGACCAGAACTGTACGCAATACTCCAAGTGCGGCCGCACCAGAGTTTTGTACAGCTGCAACATGACCTCATGGCTCCGAAACTCAATCCCTCTACCAATAAAACCTAACATACTGTACGCCTTCTTAACAACGCTATCAACCTGGGTGGCAACTTTCAGTGATCTATGCACATGGACACCGAGATCTTTCTGCTCATCCACAGTATCAAGAATCTTACCATTAGCCCAGTACTCTGTATTCCTGTTACTCCTTCCAAAGTGAATCACCTCACACTTTTCCGCATTAAACTCCATTTGCCACCTCTCAGCCCAGCTCTGCAGCTTATCTATGTCCCTCTGTAACCTACAACATCCTTCTGCACTATCCACAACTCCACTGACTTTGGTGTCATCCGCAAATTTACTAACCCATCCTTCTACGCCCTCATCCAGGTCATTTATAAAAATGACAAACAGCAGTGGCCCCAAAACAGATCCTTGAGGTACACCACTAGTAACTGAACTCCAGGATGAACATTTCCCATCAACCACCACCCTCTGTCTTCTTACAGCTAGCCAATTTCTGATCCAAACCGCTAAATCACCCTCAATCCCATGCCTCCGTATTTTCTGCAATAGCCTACCATGGGGAACCTTAGCAAACGCTTTACTGAAATCCAAATACACCACATCAACCGCTTTACCCTCATCTACCTGTTTGGTCACCTTCTCGAAGAACTCAATAAGGTTTGTGAGGCACGACCTACCCTTCACAAAACCGTGTTGACATCAAGGCATCTGTATTAAAACTTAAGACCCAAGGTTAACAGTTCTCCCGATGGTCTCCTGGCCCGGCGGGGTGGTCTTTCAGTGGCCCAGCATGACCTCCGCGTGGTCTTCTGAGGTGATTCCAGAGCGGTCTCCTGGCCTCAAGGTGAAGCCTGGTGCGGTCTGGAGAATGGTGCCAGTGTGAACTGGGTTGGAAGGACTGCTGTTCTGAATTTTTTAAATTTCTCTGTATTCTAATTTATTCCTACGATATGTAATGCTGGATTTTTTAAAATAACAATTCCGCTCCCCCCCCCCCCCTCCAAGAACCTGCACCGAAGAATCTGTACCTAGGTACCTTGTAGCCAAGGTGGCACTGTAAGCAGCGACTTGTAAACTTTTCACTGTACTCATTGAGTGTGTGTGACAATAAAGCTAATTCAATTCAGTTTGAAAGATGGCAATACCTACTTGTGTCTGAAGGTTGAAAGATGATATTTCATTACATTTCCTCTATCACTGAACATTTTGGAAGAGGGAGATGAACATAAATATGACGCAAACCAAGATTATACATTGCAGAAAGCTGCTTTTGAGGGGTTGAGAATAGAACTCAAGGAAGAAAACTGGACAACTATTTTGGCAAAGAAAGAAACATTTAAAACAAGATCCAGCTTGCAGGGAGAATATATTCCATCCAAAAAAATAACAAACGAAACACAAGCAGGACTTCATGGGTGAATAGAAATAAGTAAACAACTAATCATTGGGAAAGAGGAATTCACGAAGTATACAGGCAGCAAAGTAGTAAGAATACCAAGGGACCAGGAGAGAAGTCAAAAAACCAATTAGGAAGGCAAAGAGGAACTATGAAATCAAGTTATCAAAGAAAACAAAACAAAGTACTACAATATTTTATAGGCACAATGATAAAGACGTGATGGAAATAGGGTAAATAAGGAATAGAAGGTTAATACCATAGGTAACAGAGATGCAGAAATATTAAATGATTTTGTTTTGCTGTTCCTATGTTCCTACATAAGAAGTAATGTGACAAAGTACATTTAAAATAAAAAAAGTGAATTTATTTAACAAACTAAAACTCAGAGGATGAAATGCATCCATTTTATACAAAATAAAATAATCTAAGGACAACAGCTCAGCATCTTTTTAAATCATTCATGAGGCAAAGCTCCAGAAAAACTGGTAGATAATTAATATAATTCCTATATTTAAAAGAATAGTAGATCAATCATCTTACTATTGGTGGCAAGAGAAATATAGTGAATCCTTACTAAGGGACAGACTATGAGAACAATTAGAAATGAGAAATGTAATGATCAAACTGGATTTCAAAAAAAAACAGAAAATCTTGCTTGACCAACCTTACTGAAGAAGTTTTTTGGAAAGGTAACAGAGATAGTTGTGAATGATAATGCAGTGAGATATATCGGGATTTTCAAAGGTTTTTGATAAAGTACCCACAAAAAGACTAGTCAATAAAGTCGAGGAACATGGAGTCAGGAGACATGGCAGCATAAACTGTTATTTGACATTCACACAGAAAGCAAAGAGTGGGAGTAAAAGGGGAATTATTCAAAGTAGCAGAAGGTGGGAGGTGGTGTGCCTCAAATAGAAGAGAAAGGATCCTTTGTTTTAAGTTAACCTTATTGTGAGCAAGGAGTGGTTTGGGGGGTGGTGGGGGTGGGGAATGTGGGTTTAAAAGAAAGAAGGGGAGCCAGATTCCCCTTCCTCACCCAGGATCATGAAAGAAGAATTGGGACTGGTTGTAACAACATTCAATACCGAGGAGTTGTCCCATAGAATGGACAAGGTAATTGGTATACAAGTTCAACATAATTAACAGGAGGTATTATACTTTGACAGAAAAATGCGAATTCCACTTGTTACTTGGAAAGTGCATGCCTAAACAAGGTAAAGGAACTAAAACTCAGAATACAGATAAAGTCAGTCAACCACTAGAAATTGTACCATGGTTAGGAGAGCCACAAACGAAAGCAAATAAAATTATGGGTCTCAATTCTGGAATTGAAAAGTAGGAATGAATAAGAAAACTATAACTGAACTATCATGACTGTATTTAAAAAAAAAAAAGAGTTCACCCACTTTTTCAGGTTTTGTGGAAGATCACAGTCCTTCAAAACTTCAAGTGCTGCCTGGAAGTGTCTTTCTGGAACACAGAAGGAACAATGTATTTTAAAATTGATAACAAAAACGTTTCTCAGTTGCACCAGAGAAGTCGTAATATAACCCAGTACTAACTTAAGGTCAAAGCACGCAAGTCAATTGTGATTGTTCAAACCTGAAACAGGACATCTACAAAATGTACCAACATAATCTTATGACATAACACTGACCTGAAACACTAATCGTGCATTCCTCCGCAGATGCTCCCTGAATGCTGATCTTTTCCAATGTTCTCGGTTTTAACTTCGGATTTTCAGCATAATTTTGCTAGGATTGTAGACTAAAATCGGTGTGATTTAAAAGGTTGCTGAGAAAACTCTAGGTGTAATGCCAAAGGAAAAGCCCAAAGCAAAGCAGTCACCTGGGAGTAGTATCCTTCTGCTTAGCACAAATGGTTAACTCTGATTATTGCAAGGTTGCTCCAGGTACTTCCTATTGCATCAAACTCACTGCTCTAACCTTACAGCACCACAAATTGATTTACAGCAGCCAGAATGCTTCCTGTTACACAATTACATTAATTTTAAAGTCATTGCAATCTTACGCAAAGATTCAACTTACTACAAATCTTACTGATACCTATGCTACAGCTTGCCATTTTGCAATTCAGATACATGACGGTTGATCTATCAAATAAAAACATATTTGTCAAACAAAGACCAAACACACTTCCTATTCTATAAATGTATTATGTTCGAAATCATTCCAGATGTTTCTGCCCTAGCTAATGAGTCTCACAATCTCAACAGCACTCAAAAATTTGCCCTTGCGGCCTTTCCTAGTGGAAGAGAATCATTAATACCCTAATCACAGAAGGTTTGGTGCATTGTTTTGCCCTTTGAATTACACTAGGCCTTTACTGGATAACTTGTAGACCCCCTTCTCTCTGAAGATACATGTACCTGAGCTCAGCGTGCCAAACGGCAGGATCTCTGGAACTGACATTGTTTTAGCAGGCCATCTTTTATAGGTGATGTCTGAGTAACACAAGAATGGGTGTGTGTTTTTAGACCTAGTGGAAGACAAAAGAAGGGAGAAAAAGATACTTAATGGCAAGAATCAAACTTTAAAATTTTATTAGTGTTTTATTTGTACCCTCTTTCACACAGAATGAAAGCAAGAAAAGGAATCATCATGTGCTAAAGTAGAGACACCAGTAACTCTCTACTCATTGCAGTTTGGTGCACAAGGTGCATTGATATACAGGACAAATTAAGGACACAGCACGATAATTATCAGCCCACACTGATAAAGATTAAAATACACATACAGATTAATCCACCTAGACTACACTACATCTATAGATTACGCTAAAGTTTCCCTCTACAATCCCACTCATTCAATGCATAGATGAAAATACTAAAATTCAGCTTGGACAAATAAAGGAACGTTGCTTCATGGCTAGAAAACCAAGGGCAAGAGTAAATGAAACACGCTTCATTGGATTTGATCAGTCTGAAGCAAACATCGTTTCATCTTAAACAATATTTTTATCCAAACAAAAATTACAACTCAAAACTCATGAAAATCAAATCAAATTAAAAATGTAGTATTGGTCTTTTGATTTTAAAACATGAACATTCTAAATGTATGTGAGCAAGGGGCAAAATTGAGAGGATGTGAAAAAAGTGTAAGTGCCATGGAAGTGTTTGTCTCATTGAAATGTGCTGTGTTACTGAAAATGTTGTGAACCACTCAGATGTCAGTGTCCCAAGGATCTATGTTGGGACTTGTGTTTTAAAAATGTACATGTATATAAATGATTTAGACATATAGCCAAAAGAAACAGCAAAGCCCAACTACAGCAAATTAGAATTTGATTAGAGTACTGCTGGAACCATGCACAGAGTAATCAAAAAGTCCACTGTAAGAAGACTCATTTAAATGATACAAAAGAAAATATTATTAAGAAGCAATGTACAAAAAATTGTGTTTTTAAACTGTTTGCACATATAAGGCTTTCAAAAGTTAAGAAAGGCTTCAAGACAATAGAGGAAGACTACTTGTGGAAGATGTTTTTTTAAAACCAAGGATATAGATACAGAATTATCCCTGGAATAGTGAAAGGGGACTGTAAAGGTAAACAGTCAAAGATTTGAAAAAACGATTTAAAAAAGTTGGAAGAACGAACATTAAATGAAATGCCAGGAGATAGAATTAGTCTTCTTTCCATCTGCCGTCTTTCTACGCTAAAAAAGGCAAAAAGAGAACAACAGGATAAGTAAAATAATTTTGTGATTAAAATTTTCGAAACATCCTGAAAAAAAAAAGACAAAAGGCACAGATTATTGTGTCTGGAAAAATGCTTATAGAAATTAGTGAGCTTCCCTGTGGCGGAATAATTTAATGAATAGCTTAAATGTGACAGAGCATTGTAGACACCAGTAAAGTCCTGGGTTGCTTAATTTTTTATGCAGATAGCTGATCTGGTGACAGATGCTTTCTTAGAGCTCTGAATATTGCATCAGCAAACAGAAACACATTCCCAGAAATGTAGCAAAATTCCTGCTAGAAGGTACACAGTTAAGGGAAGGATAAGGTGCAACTCCATTCCTTGGCCAGGCCCATCCAAAGGCTGGGTCTTAGGCAATAATGAGAGAAGCCCTCCACCACCGCTCACATATCTATAAATCCTAACATTCTTCTTCTTCTAAGAGAAAAATGGAAGCAAGTGATTGGAATGTCACGAGGACAGAAAAAGAACTAGTTTTGCCGAGACACACACACACACACACACACACACACACACACACACACACACACACACACACACACAGAGGACTGGCAGTGGTGTGACCTGACAGTCACCACACATTAGGCAAGGGGTGATGTTTAGAAAGTGGAACCTTCATGATAACTTCAGCCAGCACGGGAATTAAACCCATGCTGTTAGTATCAAGCTGCATTGCAAACCAGGCACCCAGCCAACTGAGCTAACCGATGGCCAGTCTTTGCTGTTGGTAGCAACACAAAGGCCAGGAGCTCCAGTGAATCTCATTGTAAGGCACAATATTCAGGAAATGGAACTTGCATCCCCAGGTGGGCCAAACTGACTCTTTACTGAACAATAACTGTGAGAAGGACAAAAACCAAGATGCACCTGAGTGCTTAATGCTGTGACAGTGATCACTACAATCTCCTCCTGCAATTTCATCCTCTATATGGATTGGAGCTCAGGACATTTCCACCTTCAGGGTTGTATTTTCAAATCCACATGAAATTCTTTATTCCACAAGCATCAGATCTTTACAAAAGATGAAAACTAAAGGAAACAACATTTACATGGAACTAAGGCTGAAATTCACATGGTTGAGTAAATCTATTGTTTGTATCTTTCTCTCCACGAAACCCCTTTCTGATAAAGACACCCTTACCTTCAGAGAGAAGGTCTACTCAATTGCTTGAGCTCCCCTGCTTGGTACCTTCCCTCCAGTCATAACCTCCTGATGGAGACCCCATTACACCACCTCAACACTATCCAGCACCATTTCTAATTTTTGCTGAGAAGACCCTCAATTACTCACAATATCATTTAGACCTGCAGCATTGTACTGGGCAAGAGGTGTCAAAATTCAATTCAACAAGTGCTGAAGATAGCAGCAGCTCTACATAACATAAATGGCATTGTACCTGGAAACTGGTACAAGTCTCCAGGTGTTATATGGCCGGTTTTCCCTTCTCTGGCAGAATACATTAAAATTTATCTGCCAATATATTCTAGTATTGTTTAGAGTGGATAAGAAGTTGGCATTTTACAGACGTGGAAATAGCTTGTCCACGTGATAAGAAAAATTACACGGGTGATTTATAATTTTCAAGTATCATTACAGGATCTCTACGACCCATTAGGTTTTGATGCCATCACTACAGGTTTTGAACAATTCACAGAGATTCCACTATCCTTTAATTCCATCGATGTCTGGATCTCGGAGGGTCTCTTGTCTCTGCTTCAGGAATCTGATAGAACTTCATTGAAACTGCTTTCCCTAGTAACAACAGGTCACCCCATTCAGTAACATGGTTTTTCTCAGGTTGAGACATAAAAAGTTGTTGCATCAGTTCTTCAGCCTGGTGAACTTTGATAATATCTTTTAAAAACTCCAATCAGAGACTCATCACTCAAACAATAGTCTGACCTCTCAATGCAGATCACTGTTATCCTTCTTCCATTTTTTGGACAGTATTTAATGGACTGTGCTTGTTCTACACTTTCATTAGCTCTATCATTGAGCTGTTAGCTTGAAACCTTCAGGGGAACAAGTTTCAAGATTCTGGTTACTCTGACAAAACAAATACACTTTCAATTACTTAATGGAGTAAGCCCTTTACTTTGAGGCTTTTCAGAGTATATCTTGACTACAGGAGTGACTGTCTTCAACCTCTCCCTCATGACAGGGTGTTCTCAGAAAGCAGCTCAAAATGTGCTTACTGTGTCAAATCTGTTTCCCTTGACTCAGATCAGGATTTTGTCTGTTTTCTTTCTCAGCAATTCCACTTTACGATGTAGCATTCCACTCCAATTTTAACAATACCTAAAATGGTCATTCTTCAGAATGCGTATATCCCTTAATGCTTAGCTATTTCAAAACATGAACAAGATTTGCCGTGAGTTGAGGGAGGGAGGGAGGGAAAGGGAAAGGAAAGGAGAGAGGAAAAAAGGAAAAAAGAAGGAAAAAAAAGAGAAAAAAGTATACAAAGTATCATTTTTGTGATTAAGTGCTATGTTCCTTTAAGGTCACTCCATCCAACTGATGTTCAGTAAACCAAAATTGGCTAAAGTTTGATGACAGAATTTTTGTCATTGGTAAGTACTTACGAATCCTGGCTTCAAGTCAGAAACAGTAGGTGTTCTGTTTGTTTTCATTTTAAAATTGCTATACCTTGTAGCAAATGCATCGATAGGCAAGCCGATTATAACTGGAAACAAATCTAAGATGTTCAGCAAGTAAATTATATGGAGAACCGAAAATCATTACCAGAATGCTGCAAATATCAAACCATCAGCATCTCTAGAACTCAGATGCACTAATCAGCTAAAAATTAAACATTGCTGACCAACATTCTCCCACCTTTTGCAAATGCTACTGTTTACACTTTAATTTTGATGTCTTAAGCCCCAAAACAACTGTTGGCCTTTTGTGTTTGTAAACTGAATTACATTGATTTATATATCAAAAGGAAAACAAAATGCTTCAATATAGTTAAGTATTGACCATATGAAGTCTCTACAATGAGAAACAATAAATATACTCGCAAAACCATTGATAAAGTAATTAAACTTTCTGCACAATTTTGTTTTGCTTTGTAATGCACAGTAGGTTCTAAAACAATAAATGAAACCAAAACCAAACCTAGTTCAATTTACTAATGCCCAACTCCACCCCATTACGAAGTACATTCTAAAAACATGAAAAAACAAGCAAAGGTGCACTCACTCTCCTCTTGCTTCTCGCTCACTCTGTCGCTTCCATGCCCAATTTTGTTATTGCCTCTGCCTCCTTAGTCTGGTGTTCCTCCCACTTCCACCTTCTGAAGGCTCAAAACAGGACTCAAGACTTCTTTGGCCCTAATGCTATCCATCATTGTCATAATTGGCAACAAAGTAATGTATTCCAGGTAGTTTGGAGACGGTCAGCTTTGAAACAAATCAGTTTGTCTGCAAACCACAACAGATGGGACACTGAACACCCGCAAATTGCAAATGCAGGCAAGGCTTTGTGCAGCTGCAGTGTTCAAGGTAAGCTGTTCAAGCTTTATTACTTAGAAACCAACATGTAGAACCAAGACCTATTGTAATGGGTTAAACAATTTATTTGTTTTAGTTTGTGTCTAAAAGTAAAGCAACATCAAACATAAAAGATAGAAAGAGGAAAGAAATAGAGTGATTTGGCTGAATTTGAGCTCAGAAGGAATGAAAAAGAAAAGATCCAATGAATACACTATCATAAAAATCTTAAAGATTTCACTTTTACTTTGGGGACAGAGGTGTTGACAAACAGGGAAGGGTTGAACCATCATACAATGAGCAGTTTTGATCAGGTGGAAGCATGTCTTGCCTCCTGTCTAGGTACATAAAAAGGTTCACAGGAGTCTCCTAGTATACAAGAGTTTAAGCTCTCATGGGGAATTAAGAACAGTTGATGGGCAAGTAGGTGTCAGGCACAAAGAGTAACTAAGCTTCTTGGGAGATAACTTCTGCACTATAAAGGCTCCCATATGGACTCTGATCTATAACCAGAGGGTCAAAAAGGACTAACCTTTTCAAAGGATCTATATAAAATGGTAGATTCACAAAAAAAAAAGCTAATGCCCAAGGGTTGATGCAGAGCTGCTGTTTGATTACCTAGCAAACCGTGGAATTTAATCTGACGATTGGTGTTGATACAAACAAGTCCCTAAAATGCCAGGATCAGCGATTTGCACTTCACTAGGTTTGCGTTACAGTTTGAGCTTTTCCTATTTGACCTTCATAGTCCGTTTACAGAAACTGGCAAATAGCTCAAGTCCCTTGAGAGAGTGGTAATTTTTTGCTTATTATACAGGCAGATAAAATGCATACACAAACCATAGCCAGCAAAGCTCAAACACCACAATACCTAAAAAGTAGAACTAGAATTACTTTGAGGAATTAGCTTTTTTTAAACCATGCTTTCTGTACTACCTGAAATGCATCATAAAATTTACAGCTGTCTTTTACAAGATCAGCAAAAATGAAACAGCGGGTGAGCTAGAACCAGCACTTATTTCTTTTGATTTGTACTTTAAGATTTCCCCCACGTTGTAGCCACTGTCTTTGATAGGCCAACAAATGTGAAATTTTAATTAGCTGCTACAGCTTCGAAGTCAGGCCTTAAGAACTTGGGCATTACAGCTTCCTCCTTCAGCTTTCACCCCTCTGCCCCCAACACAAGCAGACTGGGTTTCACATCTAATATTGACACAGGATATCGGACAGGATATCATTATTTCATTACTGGCATCATAGCCAAATTTAACAGGGAATTCCCAAAGCATTGAGCTCAGCTAAACAGAACTTTGTCAAATGGCTTGTGGACAGCCATTTGCAATGCAGCAAACAGTTTACCACAACAAGTCATATTAAACAAGGAGCAACATCTCAAATGCATGTGAAATGCCTTGCGTAATATAACAAAGTTACTCACAACCATCAGGAGGTACTAAAATGGTACTAAATTTCCTTCGGATGACGACAGTCTCACGTCACCCATGAAAAACACCAACATCCATCTGAAAACAGGGAACTGTAGCAGGTGCAGTACGGGTCCATCATGGTTATGGTGTAATGTGGGCATTGAACCATTAAACATGTGCTAAAAAGCTGAAATAGCACAGAATCAACTGAGGCTTGTGGAAGGGGAGGGGCAGGTTAATGGGGGAATTACAAGTAGCTAAAAAAACCCACGAATACTGAAGTGGTTCAACAAAGATCCTTGAATAAACCTGCCAAGTTCAGAGAGGATCTTTTACATCAACTAGGGATATTTTCGAGCTTTATTTCCTATTTAAGAGGGCCTCAACTTAGGCTGCATTTGAAGAAACTTAAATAAAAATACTGAAAATGGTTAAGGATGAATCTCTCAATCCAGTTGTGTTAGGTTTCATTATCATTCCCTGAAGCATAAAAAAAAACTGATTTTGATTGTGTCCTCAATGTAGCACATAGGGCTTGGAATACAAGGCATTGAGTCATATCAGTTTATTCAATACCCATTAGGGAACAGCACTCCAATAAAACATTTGTATATCCCTATATTATGAACAACAATAAGCATTGGAAAAATAACATACCTACTGGATTTAATTTGGTCATACAAGTAGTAATAGGAGAAAAGAAGGAGAACCACCACCATCAAGAACAGCTTAATGTACCGCCGTTTTTTCATGCTTCCTGGACCTGAATGACAAAAAGGAGAGAAAACAAGAAATCAGATCATACAAGCCATTTAATCACTTGTAAGATCACAACATGCATTTTTCCACTTCCTCCATATTTCAGTCAGATTTCTCTTGCTTCTTTTTCTCTCAAAGAAAACACCTCTGTGTACCCACAATTTCTTGTTCTCTGCAATTGCTGGGCAAGACTGCCCCAACGGCACTCTATTATTTTTATCCACAACACAGTGCCTTGCTGTCTCCAGGAAACTGTTCTCCATACATCATGCGCCCACTTGAAAGAAAACAATATCCATTAGCTAGTGGTGAGGCAACTTTGTCTAAACTCATTACAGAAATTGTTCAGCAGGTGACATTGTTGTTCAGATTTTCACATTGTTGAAAGCCATTTGAATCCCTTACTCCACATCTCCCAGCAAGATTTTAAACAGCGTATGATGAATGGAATCAAGGAAAGTTTGGACTGCAAAATAAAATGGATTCACTATATTCAAGATGTTCTTACCCCCAGCAAAGTATGGTATTTTCCATTTTGATATTAAGCCTGCCATCACTACGTTAAGCCTCTGCGAAAGGTGTGTCAGAAGAGATGGCAAATATGTAATGTATCTAATTCCTGGCAACAAAGCCAAAGGCAGTTCTGCAAGCTGAACTGAAGTACTAAAAAAGATCATTCCAGCACTTTCTATTGGCTTTATTTAAAAATTATAAACCACAATTAATTTAGATTCAAATATAACATGCTACACTAAATACATGGAGCAGTCTAAATTTTTGGACACTTGGGACTAGAATGGTCATTCAGGAAACGTTAAGAAAAGATCAATGTTTATTTAAGAAAGGCTGCAAGGAAAAACCAGGGAATTACAGACAGGTGCATTTGACGCGAGCGGTGGGTAAATTGTTGGAGAGGATTCTGAGAGACAGGATCTACATGCATTTGGAAAGGCAAGAACTGATTAGTTGTAGTCAACATGGTTTTGTGTGTGGGAAACCTCGTCTCTCAAACTTGGTTGAGTTTGTTTCTTGAAGAGGTGACCAAGAAGATTGGTGAAGACAGAGGGGTAGGTGTTGTCAAAATGGGCTTTAGCAAGGCCTTCAACAACGTTCTGCCCAGTAGACTGGTTATTCAGGTTACATCACATGGGATCCAGGGACAGCTAGCCAATTGGATACAAAATTAGCTTGACAGTGGGAGCCAGAGGGTGGTGGTAGAAGACCGCTGTTCAGACTGCAGGCCTGTGACCAGCAGTGTGCCGCATGGATTGGTCCTGGATCCACTGTTGGTCAGCACCTATATAAACAATTTAGATGTGAATATAGGGATATAGAATTAGTAAGTTTGCTGAGGACACCAAAATTGTTGGTTATAGTGGACACTGAAAAACGTTATGTGCGAGCATGACAAGAGCTTGATCAGCTGGGCCAGTGGGCCAAGGAATGGCAGATGGAGTTTAGTTTAGATCATTGTGAAATGTTGCATTTTGGTAAGGTAAATCAGGGCAGAACTTATATAGTCAATGGGAGCGCCCTGTGGAGTGTTGTTGAACAGAAACCTGGGATGGAGGTACGTAGTTCCTTGAAAGTGGTGTTACAGATAAACAGGGTGATGAAGGTGGCAGTTGGCACGCTTGCCTTCATTTGGTCAGATCATAGAGTATAGGAGTTAGGACATCATTTTACAGCCATACACAACATTGCTAAGGCCACATTTGGCATATTGCGTACAATGCTGGTCACCCTGCTAGTAGGAAGGCGGTTATTAAACTGGAAAGGGTGCAAAAAAGATTTATAAAGATGTTGCCAGGAATGAAGCATTTAAGTCATAAGGAGAGGCTGTATAGACTCTCCCAGAGTGTCAAACACTGAGGGGTGACCTTATAGAGTTTGTAAAATCATGGAGGGCATAGCTAAAGTGAATAGCCAAGGTCTTTTCCACAGGGTGGGAGAGTCTAACACTAGACGGCATAGGCTTAAGGTGAGAGGGAAAAGATTTAAAAAGGGACCCAAGGGGCAACATTTCAATGCAGAGGGTGGTGTGTGTATGGAACGAGCTGCCAAAGGAAGTGATAGAGGCAGGTACAATTACAACAGTTAAAAGGCATTTGAACAGGTGCATGAATAGGAGAGGTTTAGAGGGATATGGACCAAGCACAGTCAAAAGGGAACTAGTTCAGTTTACGAAACCTGGTTGGCATGGACGGGTTGGGCTGAAAAGGTCCGTTTCCAATGTATATGGCTAAGAAAATACAGCTTAAATTACTGTAAAAAATAAATAATATTAGAAGAACTGCAAAAATCACATGTTTTGATTAAATTATGGCATTCTCACTCCAGTTAAATTTGCTACATTTTTCACAGCACGTTATCAAGTCTTCCACATCAACAAATTCAAAACAATTTTTAAAAACCTGCATTGAATCATAACATGCCATTGGGATAAGCTTTCAGTAGGTGTTGGGGTTTAACTTTTTTGGATGGGAACAAACCTTTTGTGAAGGATGAGATTTCTGAATACTTGGAAGTGCATGGTGATATAGGGCAAAGTCAGCATGGTTTCATCAAGGAGAGGTCATGCCTGGCAAATCTGTTAGAATTCTTTGAGGTAATGATCAGGCTAAAGCAAGGAGAGCCAATAGATGTTATCCACCTGGACTTCCGGAAGAAGAAAAGAACATAAGAACTAGGAGCAGGAGTAGGCCATCCGGCCCCTCGAGCCTGCCCCGCCATTTAATAAGATCATGGCTGATCTTTTTGAGACTCAGCTCCACTTACCCACCCACTCACCATAACCCTTAGTTCTTTTACTGTTCAAGGCCTTTGATAAGGTACCGCACGGGAAGCTGCTGAATAAGATAAGGTCCCATGGTGTTAGAGGCAAGTTATTAGCATGGATAAAAGATTGGCTGTCTAGCAGACAGCAGAGATAAAAGGGTCCTTCCCAGGATGGCAGACGATGACTTGTGGTGCATTGCAAGGGTGAGTATTGGGACCACAAATTTTCACTTTATACATTAATGATTTAGATGCAGGAACTGAGGGCATTGTGATTAAGTTTGCAGATGATACAAAGATAGGTAGTGAGGTTGTTGACTTGCTCGCCAGCTGGCTTCTTTTTGTTTAGACGTTTCGTCACCATGCAAGGTGACATCATCAGTGGAGCCTCTGATGAAGCGATGTTATTCTACTCCACTTGGAATTTATACTGTCCGGTCCGTTATGGTGAGTACTGTCATTTCCGGTTTTGATCTGTACGGGTTTATATACGGGGTCCAATTCTATATGTTTTGTTGATTGAAGTATGGATGGAGAACCATGCCTCTAGGAATTCCCATGCGTGTCTATGTTTGGCTTAGGCTACTGTGGTTACTTTGTCCCAGTTAAACTGGTGGCCTTCGTTGTCCGAATGTACAGATATTAAGCCATTTTGCTGCTAGCTGATGTTCGTGGCTAGTTTCTGATGGCCATCTTCCTTCCTGTCTGTCCAATGTAATGTTTGTGGCAGTTGTTGCATGGTATTTTGTAAATCACATTTGTTCTGCATGTTGTGGGAATGGGGTCTTTAATCCATGTGAGTGTTTGTCGTACGCTTGTGGGCCACCATGATTCTAGTGGTCTCAGGAGTCTTGTAGTCAGTTCGGATCTGTTTGTAGGGAAGTGTGGTCGGTATGTTAGGTCGTACCGTGCCCTCCTGTTGTTGTCTGTTATGTAGGCATCTGTGGATGAAGTTGCAGGGATATCCGTTTAAGGCGAGAATCTTATATAAGTGTTCTTCCTCCCGGCATAATTCTGGAATGTTGCAGTGTCCTGGCCCATTTAAATAATGTCCTAATGCAGCTTTGTTTGTGGACACTGGGGTCAACAAACATAGAATTGAACCCAATCAGCCATGATTGAACAGTGCAGTAGACTCGATGGGCTGAATGGCTTAATTCTGCCCCTATATATCTTATGACCTTTATTCCTTCCTACAAAAAACACAGGAAGTCTTTGTAATTTCTTTCCTCCCCAACAGACAATGCCCTTTTGAAAAAAAGGGACACATTACATCAAATTTTTGTTTTCTTGTGACAGCAAGCAAATAACTTGGAGCAAGATTAAGAACAAGCAGTAGCTCAATGCTTTGAAGCAAGGTTATTATACTGGTTATAAATTAATTTTATGCTGTAAACAATAAAGGTTTCTCAGGAAGACTAATCAGTTAAGAACCCAAAAGAAAGCTAGGCTGTGTATCATCAGCTTGATAGGATGGAAGGCAGGAGAGATTAAATGACAAAAAAGGCACATGGTAAAAGGTTGGGGGTGGGGGGGGTGGTGGTGGTGTGTGCAGGGAGTTTAAAAACACACAATTAAGTGCTGAAGGTGCAAAAAAAAGTGACAACAGTAGAATTAATATCAGTTTCTGCCATTTGGAAAAACGTATGTTCCACTGAAAATGCAATCAGCCTAAAATATTACTTTCATTTCCCACACCATAGATGCTAATGGACCGGAGTATTTTCAACATTTGCGCTTTGCAGCATCTACTGCATTTCATTTTTGCATTCCCCTAATGAGCTACCTAAATAATACCGGAGTTAAAAGTGGAAACTTCCATCAAATGCTTAGGTGATGCCAGAGACTGGACAAAATTTCACACGGACTATATAATTATAAAGATACAGAAATAGTCTTAAGAACTCAAAAACCAATTTTATGAAAATATAAGCGCTACCCTAACCAAAGCAGATTCAATTTGTAAATGAGACAAACAAAAGAACAAACTAGAAAAGACGGGAATACCACCAGCATGAATCACCAATGGAAACAAATTAAAGAATCTATCAAGGAAGATGAATCAAATAACATCGGACTTTTTTTTTGAAAAAAGGAAAGCCCAACAATAAACCAGGGATTGTGGCTGGAATGTTGCAAAAGAAGAGAACAAATATCAATATCAAAAGGTGACAAGCTGAAATAGATGCTTGAATAACAAATCAAGAGAACGGAAAACATATGAGA